TTTGAATTATTTTTCGCAAAGTTATAGGCATTTGAAAATTGGAACTGCGAATTTAAAAAAAAATTCATATCTCATGACTATGTTGACCAAAAAATTTGAGAAAAATCATGGTAACTTCTTCCGATAGATACTATAATATATAAAAATTTTAGCCAAATCAAAAATCCAAAAGTTCACGGGTGGCACACTTGGAACGGAATGCCCCATATATATATGTATATACGATATATTTTGTTAAAATACGATTTAAATATACTATATTTATTAAAAAACATACTATCATTAGTTAACATTTACTAAAAAAATCATTTAATTTTTATTCAGAATTCTTTTCATCAATTTCCCCATTTTTTGTGAAAAAAATATTTGTATTAACTTTAACAGGATTGTGCCACGTCTTCCCGTTGTCCGATCGAGCTCAACTTTTACACCATTTTTTTTCACCAAATGGAACAACTTTACGGAGTGTCAAAAATGTCGTGAAAAAAATTCGGAAAAAATTTTTCACCAAGTAATTTTCACTAATCTTAAACTTACATTAAAAGTATGAAAAATTTATTTCTGATATTCATAAGAGTAATGGCAAATTTCGCCCATTTTTTGGACCTCGAATTTCAAACTTTTTTTTATGACAAATAGTATTATTAGATGAAACATTAAAGCGATTAAGGCGATTAAGGGTGGAAGGTCGAAAAAATTAGCACAAGGTCGATAAAACATTCTGTTCAATTTCAATGGTACCTCCAAATAAACTTCTTACAATATCTTTGTCTCAATTAAACACGTACATTGTCCTTATCTAACTTATTGAAACGCCATCTCTTGCATGATCCGGCACTTACTACTAGATGCAATGTTTGCTGTTTTTACCATTCCGTATTTTGGCTACGCGTACGAATTACCACTAATTGTAGTTCAGTGGATATCTTTTTTCTATCGTAGCTCAAAAGGCTTTGTATTATTCGTTCATGTAGTCTGTGGTGTTAGACGTAGGCATTTTGTACATATAAGTTACAGCATTTTTACTCTAATGAAATATTTAAGCCAGGTTATGGTTTGATGTCAGTTATACAACCCAAAAAATGTAATTTTTTCCGATTTCATTAAAAATTCGATCGTCTAACGCCACAATTTCATGTCTATTTCAACCCTGTGAAAGGATTTTCAATTCCGTTCAGCCAATTCGGAGAAATCTACTGAACTGAAATGTGTCGGTATTTCCGACCTTCCAGCATCGCCTTAATCCCAGTAAAATTTCAAGATGAGCATAGGCACAGTTCCGGAGATACAAGGGGATAAAAGTGATTTCCAGTCAGGATGTATTGCATAAGAAAGAATGCATGACTGAAGTTCATTGGTAATATTGAGAGTATATTCTGTCGAATGGATCATCTACGATTCATTGTTCAGAGAACGATCTACTATTCACCGCTATTTCATTTATGAGGGGACGTGCTTTATAAAGCACCCTGAAAATACATTCCCTATTAATCATTAACCTAGTCTTTAAAGCAATTCGATTACAGAGGAAATACTCAAATTGAAAGATATTTTTTCATATCTTGACGATTGTTGATTCTTCAATAAAACAATGCCTTTCACTAAAGTTTAGGTTGTAGTAATCAAAAAAGATCGAAAAATGATAATTTTTTTTTCTATCAAAGACACGTCGAATTCGTTGATGATAGTTAACAATTTGCAGAAAAATAATCCGAAGAAACAGAAATTACAAGAATTGAACCACATTCCATCACAGAGCAAAAGCTGTTACTTAATCAATCAAAAATTATCTCAAGATCATAAGTGGATGATGATCCAGATACACCTGATCTTTCGATTTATCGTCAAGGAGAAGTATGACATCTCCGTTGAAGGACCTATATTGACTAAGGCGCATATGAAATCTCGTTACCATGGTGATAAGTATCACTACATTTTTGTTTTAATAGATAAAGCAAAAACTGGACGGAATTTTATTCGTAAGTACTATTGTACTTGTGAAAGTGGTGCTCGGACTGCGGATTGTTGCAGTCATGTAATGACAATTGTGTGGTTCCTTGGGTTTGCTCAATACCATGCAGGGATTCTATCCGGCGTACACTTACGGCACTTACGACCGTGTGGAGGGGATAGGCTGGCAACGCGCGGTGACGACGGCAACGACGGCGGCGGCGGCATGAGCTACGTCACGGCCGTCACGCCGTTCGGCCAGCTTCGGGCGGTAGAAGAAGACAGATTTGCTGTCCTCTTCTCTCGCACGCTATGTCGCTATGTATGTGTTTCAGCAACAAAATTTCAAGTCGCCGCGATGTAATTACCGCTTGCGACTCGGCCGTGACGTAGCTCATGCCGCCGCCGCCGTCGTTGCCGCCGTCACCGCGCGTTGCCAGCCTATCCCCGCTACACGGTCGTAAGTGGCGTAAGTGTATGCCGGATGGAATCCCTGATGGGATAAAAATACCCAATCCTGAAATATACAATGTATCTATCACGATTCACAAATCAACCCTGCATAGTGAGAGGCAAGGGGACTCATAGTAGAAAAGCATCCTAATCTGTGAAAAGCAAGGGGACTCACATTAAAAAAGCACCCCAATCTGTGAGAGACAAGGGAACTCACATTAAAAAAGTACCCCAATCTGTGAGAGACAAGAGGACTCACAGTAGAAAAGCATCTCAATCCGTGAGAGGCGGCATCAAGTGTCACTTCAACTCCATTTCGGGAAATTTTTATGCTAAACAAAAACTAAGGTCATTTTTAAATCCGGCGTAAAAAAATCCATAAGCAACGATATGTTTCACTTCGTTAAATATATATTTTATTTCTTGGTATAGACACTTGAAGAGTTTTGTGTACTTTCATGGTTATGAGAAACCATCACTTTCACCTTCATATCTCCGGAACCGTGCCTATGCTATATTATGAAATTTCTCTAGGATTAATGTTACATCATATAGTACTATTTGGCATAAAAAAGCTTGAAATTTGAGATCCAAAAAGTGGGCGAAAAAACAGGTTTTTTTGCCATCACTCTTTCAAATAACTTTAATATTAGGTATACAAAAAAGTTCTGAGCTTTAGATTTCATACAACCGAAATAATTTAAATTTTATATATCTTCCCGCCCTTTTGTGGTTTTAAAGCGTTGACATTTGGTCTTCTAAAATGCCATACGGTTTGGCGTTTGATGCACATAATCTCAAAAATCAGTAGTGTTCACGATGGCAATAACAAAAGAGCATACTCGATTTTCCATCCATTTCGCGTTTCATCTAAAGAAAAATGCTGCTGAAGCCACTGCAATAATTTGTGCTGCATATGGAGAGAACGCTGTAAGTCATACACTACATGTAAAAGATGGTATCAAAAATTTCGCCAAGGAGATTTCAGTCTTAAAGATGAACCGCGTGCTGGACGCCCTGAAAAGATTGAAACGGACGAATTGCAAGCACTGCTGGATATAAACTCTGCGCAAACTGAATAGGAGCTTGCAGAACAGCTTGGCGTTACGCAGCAAGCCATTTCCGTACGTTAACATACGATGGGAAAGGTTCAGAAGGAAGGCAGATGGGTTCCGCATAAATTGTCCGAAGACAACAAAAATCGACGGCGTGACACTGCACTCGCTTTGCTTTCAAAGTTCCGGAAAAAAATTTTTCTGCACAAAATCATTACAGGCGATGAAAAGTGGATTATTTATGATAACCCTAAACGTAGAAAATCATGGGTTGACCTTGGTCAACCTTCGACATCGACGCCAAAACTCAATATCCACGCCAAGAAGGTTTTGCTCTGTATCTGGTGGGATTGGAAAGGTGTATCGTATTACGAGTTGTTACAACCGGATGAAACAATCACGGCAGACCGCTACCAACAACAATGGACCAATTTGAGCGATGCATTAGAAGAAAAGAGGCCATTTACTGGCCAGGTACGTCGTAAAGTAATCTTGCTTCATGACAATGCTCGACCACATGTTGCGAAAGTGACTCAGGACTATATCTTTGCGTTAGTCTGGGAACTTCTTCCGCACGCGGCGTATAGTCCAGACATGGCGCCTTCCGATTACTACCTATTCCGGTCGCTGCAGCATCATTTGGCTGATAAACATTTCGTGAGATTTGAAGAAATACGAAAATGCATTAATGGCTTTATCGCTTCGAAGCCGATAAGCTTCTATCGTCAAGGAATTCGCAAGCTACCCGAAAGATGGCAAAAGATCGTTGGTGCAAACGGGGAATATTTCACTGATTAATATTTTTGTTTGTTTTTGAATAAAGATTGAATTTTACAAAAAAAAGCTCAGAACTTTTTTGTACACTTAATATTATAACTTTAATTTTTTAATATTTTTATATACATATAGTATAACTAATTGTAAAAGAATTCTGTAATGAAAAAAATGGCAATGGCTTTTTATGACTTTGAAAAATCAATTTTTTCGAGAATTACTTTTACCATTACTTGTCCCCCTTCAGACTACACAACTTTTGTCTGAAACGTTATTTCATAAAATGGCTTCGTTTTGCAGTATTTGACTATTAAGATAAATCACCTTGCACATGTTTTATTTTTACACTAATATGTGTATTTTTATTACATAAACTATAGTTAAAATAAATTAAAATGAATAATACCTCGAATACCGGGATAATACTGTTGTAACTCAGCTTCCATAAGAAACTCGTAAAGACCAGGTCCATTGTTCCGAGACATTCCTCCTTGAGTATCTAGAATTATAATAAATCTAAAATATAATAGATCTATTTTTGTACTTCATCATCCACATATATACGTATACATATATAACGTATGCACGTGCACACAGATGCACTTATACAAAGTAGAAAATTTTAATATTACAGGCTAATATTCTTAAAATCCAACAAGATATGAAAGTTTCATTTTCCAGATTGATATCAAAATTAATATTGTATGACAAAGTTAATTTTTCTCTAATGAAAATCATTAATCCTAGACTACCACACTATGGGTAAAATTTACCCGGATCATTTTTAAGTGCGCGCCATTTCGACAGGGTTGAAGAAGTGGGGTCGCGATGTGGGGGGGGGGGAACTTACAAGTATCTTCTACAACCTTCCATCCATAGATTTATAAGATAGACTGCGCGCCCTATTGTTCTCGGTGAGGCAGAAGCTAGAGTGAGACGGCTATACTCCACACTTCTCTATCCTTGTTCAATCGTTGGTGGGGAGAAGAAAAGAGGGGAGACAGCGCCGCGCCGGCCGCCGTGCCGACTCGGGAAACGAAAGAACATAAATTTATAAGACTTAACAAAACTGCTGTTTAATATTTTGCTATTCTGATACTATTTTCACAGTCACACACAAAGCAAGGTTCGCTGCTTCACACTAGTTCACTGATTCTTTTGTTTCCCGAGTCGGCACGGTTGACGACGGCCGGCGCGGCGCGGTGCGGGTCATCTCTCTTTTCTTCTCCCCACCAACGATTGAACAAGGATAGAGAAGTGTGGAGCATAGCCCTCTCACTCTAGCTTCTGCCTCACCGAGAACAATAGGGTGCGCAGTCTATCTTATAAGTCTATGCTTCCATCATAAGCCACGTCATTCCACAGATTCCACTTGGTAATTGGTATTGCCATTCCAGCCACGTGAAAAGTTCGGCAATCGGTCTAGTTCACTCGATAAAAAAAAGTTTTTTAAAATAAAACCATATGAGGTATTTTTCTTTTGAAAATATCACTTATATGTTTTTTCAAAAACTATGCTTTACTCTTTTTTATTCGCTTCTGAAAAGAAATGCGATGCAAAACAAAAATCAGCCTTTTTCGGAAAAGATATAAAAGCTGATTTACATTTTTGCAAATTGTTCATTTCCTTAAAATTTTTGAGTGTTACTATCCATTCAGTCATCTTTCTTACTGTCTGGCGTACAGATTAAAGAAAAAAAGTTCTAACTCAATGCGTTTGAATCGAAGTTACGCAACAAAATAGGTAGGCCGGATAAATTTTACCCAGTGTGATAAATTTTGGTACCAAAAATAGTGTGATAATCTAGGGTTAAAATTATTTCTAGAACACTAATTTTTTTAATTGACAACTTATATTTTTTATACACATTTTTATACACATTTATACACATATTTTTTATACACATAATTTTAATCCATTTCTTCATGAGTGAATTGATTATGCATAAATAATACATATATAAAAATAAAAATGCAAATAAATAATGTAACTGTTACATACATCATATATGTTACATATTTTATACAGCACATTATATGCACATTAGTGCAAAGCTTTAATTCGTCGTGCACGACATTCGGAAGAGC